CACAGCTGCTGCACTCGCCAGCCATGAGCCCAGCTTCTGGCTGAGGAGCACTCCCCCTATGGGAGCACACTGACCACCAGGGGGCAGCTCCTGCATTGAGTGTCTGCCCCTTGGTGGTCAGTACACATCATAGCGACTGGTCATTCTGCCATTTGGTCGATTTACATATTAGCCTTTTATTATATAGGATGTTCTCACTGCACACAATATCAGAACAAACAGACAAGTATAATAAAGAAAAATCTCATTTATAATTACATCACAGTTAACATTTTCTTGCTATCTTACAAAAATGGAAACATTGTTTTAGTGCCTTTTTAAAACAAAAATTGCGTCTAAAACCACATAAAATTTACCATCTTAACCATTTCAGTGTACAGTTCAATAGTGTTAAGTATATTCACATTGTTGTGCAACCACTATCTCTAAAATTTCTTATCTTGCCAAACAGAAACCCCTATGCCCATTAAACACTAACTCCTCATTCCTTGGAAACCACCATCCTACTTTCTTTATGAGTTTGACTCCTCCAAGGACCTTATATAAGTGAAATAATACAATATTTGTCCACTATAACTGGCTTATTTCAAATGTCCTCAAGGTTCATCCATGTTATCACATGAGTCAGAATTTCCTTCCTTTTAAAGGCTGAATCACATTCCGTGACATGGATAGACCACATTTTGTTTATCCATTCACCAATCGATAGACATAGGGTGCTTCTGGAGCCTTTTTCAAACAGAAGAATGTACTGTGACTTTTTTCTATGCCAATAATAATAGATTGATAGCAGCCATTGTTAGAAGTTGCCTAGTATTCCACAGAGGGACCTGCACCATAATCTATTTGGCAAATCCATTCTTGAAGGGTGTTTATTTTGTTTCCAACTTTTCACTGTCATATAAAAGCTGCAATAAACTGCCCTCGTGCACACATCTTTGTATACCTATCCTACTCTTCTGAAAGATACATTTGAAAAGTGAGATATTTTATTCAAGGGTGTTTTAGATTTATTGTTTGTAACCAACTCCTCCTTCAGAAATCAGATCAACTTAGATCCCTGCCATCAGTCTATCCTAATCCCTATTTCACATATCCTCGTCAGCAATGAGGATTGTCCCTTTATAAAAAGTGACTTTTTTGTCAGTTTTTGCCAGTGTGACAGGTTAAAAAAAAAAGTGCCATTGTTTTAATTTTGTCTCTTGGATTATTGATGAAGTTGAATGTTTTTATATGCTTATTTATGTTTTACTGGGGTTGTTTCTTTTGTGGAGTGCCTGTTCATAACATCTGCCTGGTGTAGTAATGCTGATCTTCTCCTTACTCATGTGTATGAACCCCTGCAGAGGAAGGAGACTTGAATTTTGAGTACCATATATGTGGCCAACCACGTTTTTGCGTTGCAGGATTCATTTATATTTATGCATATAACCCAAATGCAGTTATGGATTCTGCCTTCAGTGTCATATTTAGAAAATTCCCCCCTTTCAGAGTTATCTATGGATTTAGTCACATTTTCATGCTGTTGCTTAGTAACACATCACCTTCTAGAATTGTCATGGTTCAGTGTTATTACCCTCTCTAGTCCAGCTGGAACTTATTCTGATGGGTGTATGCTGAGATGAGGACCTCACCTACGTCTAAAAGTCAAGGGCAGGCCAGCCCTGGATGCCTGTCCTTCCCTCCATGTTCTCCCCCACTCATCACTTTCTCCTAAAATGCACTGGCCTTTTACACGACCCCCACCTGCAAGAAGAGAAAAGCTCTCCAGCTCGGAAGGCCGAGCCCTACTACACAGCTTTTCCCAGAGGCATTTGCTGTTCCGAAGAAGATTCGGGAGAGGCTACCAGGTAGGGGGCCCAGACGGCGGCATTTCGGGCACTGCCACCACCCCACATAATGGACAAGCCATCGTGGAACCAGGAACGCCTCCTCCCACTGGCCAGCCAGCATACGTGCACTCTGCCCCTGGTTTGGGATGGTTGATTATCAGTGTCAACTGCACGTCAGTCTTTCAGCAGGTGGACTGCACAGCCTCATTCCGTCCTCACAGTAGGAATTACTACCTTGATTTCTCAGCTGAGATGCCGAGTTGCAAGGAGGAATGAGTCTGATGACAACTCAGGAGCAGCAGAGGCGGGAGGAGGCTCTCTGGGGCACACCTCAGAGCTGTCTGCTGGTGAACAGACTGTCGCCTGCAGCAGGGAGCTGGGGGGAGCTCTGGCTGTCAGGTTAGGCTGAGTTGGATCCTCCCAGCTGTCAGGGCTGACAGGGGTGGAGGAACAGAGAGGGCACACGCAGGGCACAGGGCCGGCCAGGGCCCTCAGCTGTCCCTGCCTGACCCCACTCCTCTGAGTCCCAGCCCCCACCCAGGGTTACCAAGGGTGCAAGGCATCCTAGGAAAGTTCTTCCCTGAAATCACCCTGTTCCCAGCAACAGAGTTCATTCATTCATTCATTCACTCACTCACTCAGCAAGCGTTTATTGAGCACTTACTGTGTGCCAGACACTGGTCTGGGGATAGAGTGGTTAACATGAGAAGTGAGGACCTACCTTCTGGGAGCTTATACTCCAGGGGGGATAAGCAAGGGGAAGCAAGGGATCAAGAGTGACCTGGATTACTATGCTAATAAGTGCTGGGAATAGTTAGTGCTCCTCATCTAGCCACTCCTTATGTCCTCTTAGAGATTCTAATAAAACAATGTCCCGTGAAAGACAACAGGAAGAGGGGGGGAAGCTGCTTCAGGGAAACCACCCAGGGAGGGCCTTTCTGAGAAGGTGATGTTGGAGTCGGAAGGGAAGAGTAGAGGGAAGGGCAACCCAGGCCCTGGGAAAAGCAGACGCAATGGCTCCAAGGTGGGAAAGAGCCAGGATGTTTGAGTCACTGTCAGGAGGCTAAGCTGTGAGCCGGATGGATATGGGGGTAAGGTGGGAGCCATAAAGAGGGCCAAGGGGAGGCCAAGGATTCCCGGCCCACAGTAAGAGATCACCTCCGACTCAACCACACAGCCCCCTAGCCCAGGCTCTGGCAGTAAGCACTGATGCTCTCCATTCCCTGCCCCTTCTAATCTGCTCTAGTGTCCTTGGAAGAGGGGGAAAAGGGAGAGAGAAAGGGAAGAAATGCAACCCATCAATTAACCTCCTGATCAGCTAAGGAATGTAACTGACAATGTAACCAACACTATTGTAGATGGTAATAAAGATTTGTGTTTGTATTCTTGGAGCAACGGGAATCCACTGAAGTGTTTAGGCAAGAGAGAGGCTAACGTAGGTTTTTGAGAAGACTGTTCTGCTGTTGCATGCAAAAAAGGGCTGTGGGGCATGTCAGCCAGCCAGCATCCCGGAGGGACAAGACAATCACTCAATGGGCTGAAAAAGGAATTAAAGACAGGGCTCTTGACAGAGGCAGGGCAGGCGAAGGGCCATGCAGCTCCCAGTTGCTCCCAGGCCTGGCTGTGCCCTGCCCTACACCCCTCCCCTGAGCACAGTGGGGTGGGGGAGGTGGTGGTGGACCAGAAGTAGCTGGGGACTGCAGTGGGGAGGTGGGGTGTGAGAGTAGGATCCTCCTCCCCACCTCTCTCTGCTCCCACCACCCATTGCCTGCCTGCCAGAGCCTCCAATCGGTCAATCCAAACCGGACACCCAGAGTGAGACTCAAGGGGCCTCCAGAACACAGCAGGGGGCAGAGGAGGGGTGGCAGGTGGAGATGCAAGTGGCCTGGTAATGTGGATGGCAGAGGCTTGGATGTGGGTGAAAAAATGGTTTTGTTTCCTCCATAGAGGCTCTTAGAGAGGGGAATATATATATATACATACACACACACA